CTGAAGGATGAGGTCATTCCCAGTGTCTGTTTCCTTGGGAACAGCTGGATCCTCAGATGGAAAGGGCCCAAGGCAGATAGTGGCCATAAGGAGGTTGAGATATTTCTATAGCAGCTCACCAAACAGTGAATCCCTCCACAAGGGGAAAGTTGCAAGTGAGAGCTGACTTTTCTAAGATTACAAAGAAAGCTTGAGAAAAGCCCTGAAGTCAAAGTCAGGGCTTGGTCTGCTGTCTGAGCCATTATGAAAGAGAACTGAGTGAAGAAACTCTGGCTGGAGGCTTGACTCAGCGGAATGCTGATGGTGCAATTTCAGGCTAACAGCAGGTGAGAGAAAATGAACTCTGTGGGAGTATGTGTGAAAACCTTCATCTGGGTGGCGACATGTGAACTGAGTTTTGAAGTGTGAATAGGAGTTTGCCATATGAGGGAGGGCAAAAGTCATTCCAGGCCGGGGTCTGTGGTCAGCTGGGGAAGGTTCAGGGCACGGGATCGCTTCCCAGGTGGCAGAGTGGTAAAGAACCCACCTATCAATGCAGCAGATGTGGGTCCAATCCCTGGGTCAAGAAGCTTCACTGGAGAAGGAAACGGCAGCCCACTCCCATTCCATGGAATTGCCTGGAAAATTCCGTGGACAGAGGAGCCTGACGGGCTACAGACCATGGGATCACAAAGAGCTGGACACAACCGAGAACACATGCACTGCCCCGCCAAGGGATGGAAAATGGTCCAGTGTGTATGAGAGATGGGAAGGATACGGGGGGAGACTAGAAAGATGGCTTGGGGTGTGACTATGTCCTGAAAGCTACAGGGAACCACAACAGAATCAGGAGCAAAGAAAGTACAAAGTAAGATTTTTATTTTTTATTTTTGGCTCAGGAAGGTCACCAGAAAGCCACAGGGGTAGGATGGAATGCAGTTCAAGGCAGAGGGACCAGTGAATGTTGCAATGGTGCTGGTGAAAGATGCCAGTCATGGGGGCTTGAGAATAGAGGGTGGAACATTTAAATGGGAACACGATGGAAAGGTTGGGTAGGAAGGGAGACCTAAAGGCTCTTAAGCATGTTTTACATGCACTAGCTTGTAAATTTTCATCATAGCCCTGTGATAAGGCATTATTGCCCCTGTTTTACAGATAAGACAACAGAGAGTACACAAGTAAGTGCCAAGTTCCCAGAAGTTCTGAAAGTCTGAGGGATTCCAGAGTAAGATCTGTTTCCTCTACTTTATGGTTAAGGGGGGGGAAACAATTCAGCAGTCCTGAAGACTGGGGTTTCATACCAGGGGACCTGGATGAACAATGATATTGGCAGATATCCCCACTGCTTATCAATATCCAGTCTTCTTTCCTGTGGTTAATTGTGGCCATGTGACTAGTTCTGGCCAACAAGTTGCGAGCGAATCTGACATATGTCACTCCTGGGCTGGAGTATTTAAATAGTTAGTGGGACACTCTCCAGCTCGACACTTCTGCACTGGTGACCTGGGAAACACCTTGAGTGCAAACTCCATTAATTTGGAGACCTGAGTGATGATCATGGGCAGAGCTACCTGCCTACTTATGTTGCCATGGAGCATAAGTGGGGAGTGAATCCTTGCATGACGTCATGAATATTGAGAGTTGTTACTGCAGCACAACCTATCCTATACTAACTGATAAGGCGATGCCCGTCCTTAAGTAAAGGAGCAGGCTGAGGGCAAGGGTCGGAAAGATGACATTTCTGGATTTGGGAAGGACTGAGCTATGGCAGAACATTAAAGTAAAAGGAAGTCGGGCTTTGGGGACTCACAGATGTGGGTCCAATGTCACCCCAGGCACCTGCCATCTGAGAGGTTGCAGGCAGTCTCCCAGCATTTCTGATCTTGGTTTCCTCACATGGGAAATAGGAGTTGTGATCACCACCTCATTAGAATGACTCCAGCTAAAACATGCAGAGCGCCCAGCGTGGAGCCTAGTCACCAGGCAAGTTGAAAGTGTTAGTCACTCAGTTTTGTCTGACTCTTTGCAACCCCACAGATTAGCCCACCAGGCTCCTCTGTCCATGGAATTCTCTAGGCAAGAATACTGGAGTGGATAGCCATTCCTTTCTCCAGGGGATCTTCCTGACCCAGGGATTGAACCTGGGTCTCCTGCCTTGCAGGCAGATCCTTTACTGTCTGAGCCAGCAGGGAAGCCAGGTCCTTAGAAAGCATTCTGCAAACTATCGTCTTTACCCCAGGAAGATTTTCAGAAGGAAGTTGGTGATTGAAGCTTTGTGAGGTCAGACATATTTCACTTAAATTTCTCTGGTACTGAGAGTGGTGACTAGGTACATTAGGTGTTAAAGGCACTACAATTATTTGCTTTATTTGCCTATTTCCTCTCATAATCAGACTGGGAACTCTTTGATGGGAAGGACCTATGTGTTCATTCATCTGTGTGTTTCTTCCTTGGCCAGTAGATATCAGATCTTAGGAAATTTTCCTTGAAAGAATGAGTCATCCCTGGTTTTAGAAATAGCCAGATCTGGAGGCCATTTCTCTATGGCACATCGATACCAAGCCCAGGCTTTGTTTTCCAGGAGACCCCCCTGCCTCCTCCCAGTTAGCAGGTCTCTATTCTGACCTCTGGCATTCCTCTAAGGACCCTTCAGGCCCTGGGTCCAGGTGCCTAGGAAGCCTACCACACCAGAGCGGTATCTCTCATCCATCTTTCCCCCAAGCTGAATAGCGTCTTAAGATGACCCCAATATCAGGCTCTACCTGCACACGGCTGGGTGCAGACCTTGGCAGGAGTGGACTGGCAGGCTATTTCTCTCCTTCCCAGGCAGACGAGTATGGAGCAAGTCTGTTTATCAGGCAACGCCTTATTGTAGCCAGAGGTGGTGGCTTAACAGTGGCAGAAACGCCCGCGTTGCTTCACAAGCTGCGAGTTACTAAGATGTGCCCTTGGCCTCAGCGGGCAGATAAGCACCTGCATTGGAGAAGGAGCCCTTGATCATGGGCTGATAAGCTCAGGAAAGGATTAAAAAAAAAAATCCTAACAACAACAAGAAGCTGAGCGACCCACTGTCGGAGGCTTTTTCATGTACATATGGGCGTGTTACCTGTCTTCGCCAACACACGGGGTGATGCAAAAGGTCTGGTTTTAATTTAATTTGATGGTCACGCAATCATGGAATGAGCATGTCAGAGCTGGAAGGGACTTCAGGGATTGTCTCCATGAACCCTTTAATCTTCCAGGTGAGGACATTCAGGGCTACAGAGCTGCAGTGACTTGTTCGGTATCATATAGCAACGTTTGGCAGAGCTGGAACAAAAGCCTGGGTCTCTAGACCCCCAGGCCTTCCATCTTTCCACCAAATGGAATTGCTTCACAAGCTGCCATCTGATTCCTCAGGTGCATCCTGCGGGCTGTGCTTTGGTGCCTAAACAGTCCATTTTAATGATGCCAGAGTCAGACAGCCCTCCCCCTCCCTAGTCCCCTGCTGTTGGACTTGACCAGTGAGCTCAGGGCAACAAGGTCTGATGTTTCAGAGCCTAGTCATTCCAAACCTTGTTATTTCATATTTGAAAGAGGTCCCACTTGGAGAGGTGACTTGCTTCAGTGATACAAGTAGGGAAGATGAAATATCTGGGTCTAAAATTCTCAACATCCTGACTTCAGTCTGTTCCTTTTAAAGAGTGCGTTAAAACCACTATTTATGGTTTGGGTGAGGGTGTGTGGTATGGGTGAGGTATGTGGAAAGCCACCTGGACTCTGCAACTTTCCTTTGTGGCCTTTTCTTGGGGAAAAATATCCCATATGTTACCTTAAGGATATAAATGGAGTTTGGCAGCCTTTGCAGAATTGAAAATAGCATTGTTCTCATAGGCACTCAATAAACCAATAAATGATAGATGAATGAATCCTTCGTGGCTTCATTCACTTAAAACTTGCTTTCTAGGTTTGATCTGTGAATAAATAAAACAGTATAGATTTTAGTTTAAAATAATTTCCAGGTGAAAGTGATAGAGCCATCAGCAGCAACAACAAGCTTACAGCATCTCAAGAACCGTGCAAGTAATTGGTATATCCCCGTCTCACATTAAAGTCAAAATTAGATTAAAAATCTGAAAATATTTATCAAATAGCTACTTAAAATAATACAGTAGAGATATGTTTCCTTTTTAACATATTTTTAAAAACCGCATAGGCCTTTATTTTAGTCTTTTATCTTTTGGCTGTATCATGCAGCATGTGGGATCTTAATTCTCCCATCAGGGATGGAACCCATGCCCTCTTCATTGGCATCAAGGAATCTTAACTATTGGACCACCGGGGAAGTCTCTAGAGATAAATTTCTAATGAAAATTCATACTCTTTTGTCACTGTAATGCTTTTCTCCTGAGTAAATCACTTTTAATTCTGTTAACTATTTCTGCTTGTTTCCTGGTATCTACAGAATATATACACATGTGCTAAACATGTTAATAAGGTTATTTTTGATTGATCAAGTTTAGATATTTGTATATCAGGGCCTTCCCATAACAAATGAATTGGTTCATTTGGACCATCAGCCACATCTCTGCCCCCAGTTCATTTTGCACATGCACACATACACACACACAACCTTTTAGTCTCTTTGTTAGTTTAAGTCATACATGTACACATTTTGTGTTCCATCAGTGGTGGTGACAGTAACCTTTGACTCCAGTCGTATGAGATGAGTGCATGACACTCCAACCCTTCTATCAGCTCCTCTCCCTCTTCCCCTCTTCTGCCTCTCATTTTTAGTAACCGCACTTTCACTTTTAAATGTTAAGATGGATAGCATTTATTTTTTGTTTTGTCTTACAGTCTACCAAGCTTTATCTGTAGGTTGATTCCAGAAGTGGAACATCCATGAAGCAAATCGTGTTTACTTTATTGGGACTGTAAATATCGTTCACCTCACAGCTGAGAGTACTAGAATTATTACTGTGGTTGCTGCTTATTTTCTTTAAGTTTCTAATAGATTCCTTTGTTTTCTTGCATTGTAGAGAATTTGCCTGCAAGACTGTAGACCCAGGTTTGATTCCCTGAGTCAAGAAGATCCCCTGGAAGAGGCAAGTGGTAACCTACTACAGTATACTTGCTTGGAAAATTCCATGAACAGTCAATGGGCTACCATCCATGCGGTCAGAAAGAGTCAGTAGTGACTAGCAACTAACACTTTTGAGGAATTTCAACAATCGAAGCGACTTAGTGCATAGCATACCACACATGACTCTTCTCCACTTTGGTCTCATATTTCTATTTCATTGCTTTTTCTGTTCTGCATTTTAGATTTCCTTAATGCTACCTCCCAACATTTTTGTTCAATTTTCTTTTTTTTTTGACATCACATATTTAATTTCCCAGTACTCTTGCTCTATGATTGTTCCTCTTACGTAGCATCTTTTCCTGTGGATGGAATATATTCTTGCATATCTCAGAGAAGACAAGTTTATTTTTTCTAAATTATCTTTGTTTCCTCCAAAATCAGCTTTTCCTTTTAAATAAAATTTCAGTCTCTCTTTTTTGTTTTATTTCCCTAAAATGTCTCATGACCCTTGATTAATCACATAAGTTTAAAAAAAGAGATACTAGAGAACCAACTGGGGACTCAATGTATTTGGACAAAACTGGCTGACAGGTTTTCATCTGGGGTGAGATGTCAGAGTGCTGAATATTAATAGAGAGGGTTGCCATTCCGCAGTCTAGAGGTCTTTGCTCTTTAGCATTGGTGCTTACACCACCAGTCCTAGTTCTTCCCGCTTAATTTCTTTAAAGAGAGCTTATCTGGTTTAAGAAAATGAGAGTGATTGTCAAACATTTGTTTCTCTGTGTGTGCAGATAGGCAAATGCAAAGTTTAATTCATCTTCTGTTTTCAACTCCACTTCTCACTCCTGCTTTTTCTTACATGATGTTTCTGATCCTGAGCCCATCTGAAGCTCCTAAGTTCATCTTCTCTATCCTTTGCCAAAGGCCCTTCTATGAGGGTCCTGAAGTGTGATTTCTTCTCTTCTGAGTCTTTCGTTACTCCTCTTTCTCCTTCCATCTTATAGAATTTTTGGCTTCCTCTCTGCTGATGCTCCACTCCCAATCCTTGTGGCTATTTTTTAAAAAGCATGTTACCTTCATTTTTAGCAATCCCAGAGAGGGCTGTCCAGTGGAAATTTTAGGCAGAGAACATTAAGCTTATGGAAGGCGAAGCAGGGGAAATATAGGAAAAGGCCAGCAGAGATGAGGAAGTGTGTCATAGTAGCTTGGGGATGACGATTAAGCAGATAGTAAAGGAAAGTGAGGCTTGAGAAGGAGGTTGGGGCTGTGTAAAATCTCCTGTTGACAATCTAAAGGCTTCTCTGCTCAGCACCAGGGCTATGTTGTGTGTGTGTTGGTGGTGGCGGGGGAAGAAGCTATGTTGTATATGTGTATGTCTCCATCTAGTTCACGCTTGCACCCCTTGAGACTCTGACTTTTTTTTAATAAGGAAAATCTTCTCTTGGATTCCATATCCGGAATAGGCTCTGGATTTTTTTTTTTTTTACATGCCCTCTGTATCTTCCAAGGCTCTGAAAAGCCAAGATCCAGTTTTGTTTTGTTTTTTCCAGGTATACCAGATGTCCTCAAGGCAGCAGGTCTTCTTTCTCTAACTCCTACTTAAAGTTTGACCTAATTTCCTATTATCTCACCAGATGTTTAAGCCATTTAAGACGTTGTGTACTTCTGACCTAGAGCTCTTCATGGTTTCCAGCATGCCTGGCTGGCTCTATTACTGATGTGGAGCTCTCCCACTGGCTGCTTCTCTGACTCTTGCAAGGTGTTCTGCCCATTCTAGCCTATCATGAAGACTGAAAGATGCTAACAGAGATGACATTCTGGTAATAATGCCAGCTTTGGGTCAGGAAGATCCCCTGGGGAAGGGAATGGCAATCCACTCCAGTATTCGTGCCTGGAGAGTCCCACGGACCGTGGTGCCGTGGTGTGGTTGTGGGCTCCAGTCCATGGGGTCACGAAAAGTCAGACATGAATGAGCACACACACCCTTACATGATGGCTTGGAGTTTAAACAACTCCTTTATATTCAGTGTCATTTAGAACTCAGGATAGGGGAAGAATTACTGTCCTCATTTTTACAGCCAGATGTCTGAGTCATAGGAGGAGAAGAAAGTAACCCAAGATCTCCCAGTTAAGCACAGCATTGGAGTTGGAAACTGGTTTTTTGAATTCCATTTGCTTTTCTTTTCACTCTTACCAGGTCCTTCCTCACCAGAAACCACAAACCGCTATGTCAACGGGGTCAATTAGTTTGATCCCACTGAAGGATGTAAGTGGGATGGGTCGGGCCATGCTCTGGGATCCCAGAAACTGACCCTGGTTTGAATACTCAAAGTTCTGTTTTGCATCACCTCCCCCAGCCTGAGAACAGCTCAGGATGACGGCGGACGTGGCGCCACGGATGGGCTACATCTTTCCCTCTCAATCAAGGTCTGAGCTCACGGCTCACCACTCGAGATGAAAGCTCAGCTCCTTGTCACAGATATCCAGTTACAGATGACTAGAAGGAGGCTTTAGACCTGGGGCTGTCTCTCCAACTGTTTTCTCTAGGTGAAAAGGGATGTTCTCAGGGATTATGATGACTCAGTGCAAAAGGATGGCAACTTTGTACACAGAGATGCCTTAATACATGGAGAATTTCAGACCGAGGCAGAATTCGGGTCTTCATCAATCTGTAGGAGACCGATTCTGTTACTCACACAGAGCAAGTTGCCATGCTGTTGAGACTTAATTTGCTCTTCTCATGTCAAAGCAGCAAGGGCATGCAACGGCTTATCGGGCAACTTTCAGAAATTATTAATGAAAGGACAAATTCCCCACAAGGCCATCCAGAGAAGGGGGGAAGAAACAAGGGGAGCAAAGGGAAGAAAGAAAGGATGGGGGCATGAACACAGAACCGATAGACCTGGCGCTTGACACTAAAGGCTTAACATCAAATGCAGCCAGAAATCCATTTCCACAGTTTTATTGGCCATTCCGGACGCCTCATTTCAAAGGGAAAGATTTGAATTCAGAGACATAACGCTCCCTTTGTTCTCTTGCCCTCCAGCCTTTGGTGCCAGTGTGGACTGTACCAGAGGGAGAGAGTGAGATCAAAACCCCTCTCCGCTCGGCTACCTGCCCCCAGAGCTGGCCCTTGGCATGCTTAATGAAATCAGCTTTGCAATAGATTGACAATGCCCTGTCAATTATAATCATTTATCTTGGCAAGCAGAGCATTTGAACACTTAAAAGAGCCAGGGGTTCAGCGGGCCCAGAAAAACCAGAATAAAATTATACTGCATGGTAATCAGAGCAAGAGTATATTGCTCACATAAAATTTTACTTTAACTGTCAGAAGGACTGAGAGGATTTTACATCTCATTTTCTGCCCATAGGGTGTTTGCAGTTCCATGTGGGGGTCACTTTTCCCCAACTCTGATGTAATAGGGGGTTCACAGGGGCCTGTGTTGGCAGAGGAGGCCTGTCAGTCTGCGCTGTGCCCAGCTGAGTCTGACTCTTTGCGGACCGTAGTCCGCCAGGCTCCTTGGTCCTTGGAATTCTCCAGGCCAGAATATTGGAGAGGGTTGCCATTTCCTCTTCCAGGGGATCTTCCTGACCCAGGGATCCAATCTGCATCTCCTGCATCTCCTGCCCTGACGGGTGGATTCTTTATCTTTGAACCACCTGGGAAGCCCTGGTAGTGGAGGGGGACCACTCAGTACATAGGGATGGTTTGGGGCCCTGACAGGTGGATTCTTTATCTTTGAACCACCTGGGAAGCCCTGGTAGTGGAGGGGGACCACCCAGTACATAGGGATGGTTTGGGGTGTGTTGGGGACATCAGGATGGGGGTGCAATGACCTGTGCCATTGCAGGAAGTACAGGATTTGAGGGGATGCCTGGCTTCACTAGTGGCTCAGATGCTAAAGAACCTGCCTGCCAATGCAGGAGACACGAGAGATGAGGGTTTGATCCCTTGGTTGGGAAGATGCCCTGGAGAAGGGAATGGCAACCCACTACTCCAGTGTTCTTGCCTGGAGAATCCCAGGGACGGGGGAGCCTGGTGGGCTGCCGTCTACGGGGTCGCACAGAGTCGGACACGACTGAAGTGACTTAGCAGCAGCAGCCAGTATTCTTGCCTGGAAAATCCCATGGACAGAGAAGCCTGGCGGGCTATAGTCCATGGGATTACAAAGACTGGGATGCTACTGAACAACTTTCACTTTCACTGACTCCCCCATTTCCTGATGATGTGAGCCTGGATCAGTTGTCCCCCCACGCAGGGTCTCGATTGTCTTCTAGAGAAATGAAGCCAATAGAGACCCTCTCCTTTCTGATGCCACCAAGACACACATTTTCTTCCTTCTCGTTTAGTGTTATGAAAGCGGTTTTTAGCTGGTTAGATGCCTACCCAGAGAATCCCTCCGGGCCTCCCTCATCAGCTTAATGTGGGGACAGCTAGAGCAATCCTGGGACAATGAAAAGGGTGAGTACGAGGTCCTGCTGAGGGCAGCAAGGGCAGCTGAGCCAGGGGTCTTCTTGCCTCACTGCCCCTCACGCCTGCGCATTGGCATCTGTCCAGGAAGCTTCTGGTAGGACCAGTGATCCTGACAGGTGGGGGGCTGCTGACCAAGGGCCTTGGGACCCAGGAGAGCCTGGACTTGGGACAGGAGGACCTTGTAAATGAGAGCCCAGGACCAAGGCAGCCATCACTTTCAGAAACCTGGTGGCAAGAGCAGAGGCGAACTCTGACGGAGGTCAAGGGGTGCTGGGGATGGTTGTAGATGGAGTCCTTTCTTCCCTGGAGCCAGAAAGATCAGCTCCTCTACCTCTTAACTCCTCACACATTTACTGGAGAGAAGGAAAGGGGGGAATCTCTGATCAGACTGGGGACTTCTGCAAAGGAGCCAGCGTGGATCAGATGGCCCCGAGTCATCAGGAATGGAGTTTTCCGCGGTCGGCAGGAAGGATGCCCAAGGGCTGTCAGTGCCGTCTGCACCGGGACTTGGCCCTCGAGCACGTGGAGACCAGCCACCTGGTTCTTGTTCTGCTGCTGCAACCTCTTGGGAGCGTTTCGGTAAATGACATAGAAGAAAACACACCTGCAGCAAATCAGGAAAAGTGGCCCTGCCCACCCTCCCTGGGCGGCCGTCTCAGGGGACTGAGCTCCCAGTAGCCTGGCTTTCGGTCAGACACAGCCCGTGCGGAGGTGCTGGGACTTGGTACTTGGTCCCGGGAGGACGGGAAAGGCGTGCACGTTCCAGGGGCCTGGCACCGGGGAGGCGGGGCACGGGGTCACGGCAGAGGCTGGGAAGGGTGCTTGGGGAGGGCCTGTGGAGGGGACCCGCTCCGCACAAGACCTTGACCTTGGTTGAGAAGCACAGAGCCGTCACTCTGTGGTGTGGGGGAGGACGTTTTGTGTGCACAGCCAGTGGGCGGCGGGATGAGCCTGTTCTTCTCAGCCTCCCAGGAGCATCTCT